GTTATATTTTTGACCCATTTAATAAATTAAGAATGACAAACAAGGTTACAATAAATGAAAGAAGTTTGTCTCGATTCTTTATCTACAAAATATCATTAAAACTAATAAAAATTATAAGTGGTATAATAAAATAATTAAATTGTTAATTTCCATTTAATATATTTTGTAAAAGAATTACTGTATAATTAATAATAATCGTACAATTTTCATACTGCTTCTAATATTAGTCATAAAAGATATAATTTCTTACATTTACCCATGTTTATCAATGATATTGACGTTATCTCTGAATCATTCAAGATTAGGCTAAGAAAGAGATTAATGAAGTATAAGTAGAAACAAAGCTTGTGATATGATTAATTATCATTGTTTTAGATATCAGAATAAGGACGTATTTTTGGGAGTAAGCTTCTTTAAATGTTTCCAAAAAGTCTTTAGTTGATGAATATATACATCCAAAGGATATAAAAGAAAACGAAAACATGGACAAAGGACATGGTGCCACCTACGCAGGAAGTGATAGCCACCTACTCGAATACTGGGAGGAATATCAGAAAATGATAGAGGAAACAAAAATGTTGGATGATTATTTAGATGAAGAATGCAGCCCTCGAAGTTATGATGGTATGTATTGTTATAACTAAAACTACATATATAATGTAAAAATTCTAGTTAGAGATTATATTTAAGAATTTAACAACAAATATGCGAAAGAATCTTAAAAACTAAAAAGTGCTGCAATAACATATATTATAAGTTTGAAATACATATATAGAATGAATATTTTTGAATTTTTTTTACAGAAGGAGAAGAAGAAGCTGAATGGTTACATGCAGCAGGCTTAGGGCAATTAACAGAGGCATGGAAAGCAGGCAAGGAGGTACAACCTGAAGAATTAGGTGCAGTTTTGCGTCCTCTATCGCGAGCTCAAGCAGAAGCTGTGAAACGTCGCGTGAGATCGCTTAATCATACAGTTAAACAACGTTTTAATCAGCGTCAACGTGTTCGCAAACCAGACATTAGAGATGTCTTTAAAGATGTAGAGGTATATCACATTAAAGTATTTTGAATTGATTGTATACATAAAGTAAAATAGA